GCGAGACGTCACATAACAGCTCCTATTTTCTTTCTTTCTTTGTTTGCAATAGAAGACAAGTGTTAGAACTCTGATTCTGGGTATCTTCGTGGCGGATGACGCTTTTGTTTGCTCTGGAGGAGTTCTGTAGAATCAGACGGGACAGAGGTAGAGTTGTCTCCAACCGATGGCAGTGTGTCACGTGGTTTTCAGGCGAAACAGGAGTCGGCCTGATGTGTTCTCGTGTACGCTGAAGCTGTCGCCCGTGCTCGGTTTTAACCATGTACGCTCGAGGCGTCTCAGTCGGTTGTATGACCATGACAGAGGACCACGTTCCAGACTTCGTGTTGCACATTACTGCGGTCGACCCAGTGCACAGCTCTGGAATGAGCGCGTGGCTCTGTTGTAGAACTTTTGTTGTTTACGCCTGATGTCTTGAAGTCTTCGTTGCACACTCTGGGTTGGCATTGTGCGTGGCAGTATATGGCTGGTTGGTACCAGAAGGAGCATTTTTTTTCAGACGGTCCTTGAGCTTCTGCACTGGGTACTTGATGGAAGAGTCACGAGAAAAGTTGTGCCACTCAAGCAAAGCAGTGCAAACTTCAGTAGAGCCGAAACAACACCATTTAATTATCTTCTTGGCTTCCTGCACTGCTTGTTTGGCCATTCCATTGGAGCGAGGGTAATGTGAACTAGAACAGACGCGTCACCGACCAATCTTACCGACGTAGTCCTTGAACTGTTGACTGCTGAATGGGGGCCCATTTTCTGTGCACAATCTCATCGGAAAGCCGTGTGTTGCAAAAATGTCGGTCAATGTGGAAATAACCTTGTTTGCGGATGGCGCCTGCACGGGTCTGATTAAAAAAAAAAGAATTAACATTGACCAAAACCAAGTATTTGTAGCCCTCATGGTGGCAAATATCAGCTCCTCCAGACTCTTTAGGTATAGTAGGACCTTCGTGACTTAACAGCGGCAGTCTCGCGTTTTTTTGGTTTTTATTTTTGGCGGGTTTGACAACATAGGGCGAATTCCTCAATATCGCTGCTTATACTTGGCAAGAAGTTGATGTCGCGAGCATGTGCCTTCATTTTTCTGCTCGCATGTGCGCATCATGAAAATACCCAAGTACCTCGCCACGCAGTGTGACCGAGACGATGAGGCGATTGCTCCGGAATACGACCCCATCTTGAGTATATGTGGCTCATCGCGGAAGCTTCGATAGCTCCGTAGTACGGGGACGACGTCAGCCTTGGCTTTCAGCCAGTCTGTGCTTCCATACTGGCAAAGCTGTGGGATGCTTGTATCACAGTCCATCTTTTTGAAGAGCTGCTCCAGACGTGTGTCTGAAACTTGAAAGCATGCAATAGCATCAACATGAAACTGAGCGCACTCTTCATCAAGTTGCGTTTCACTCGGAAAACGCGATAGCACATCAGTAATAAAGAGCTGTATTCCCGGTGTGTATTTGACATTTATGGGGTATTTCTGCAAGTTGAAACGCATAAGCGGTAGGCGAAAAGGGCACTGACAAAGCGGCTTTTTGAAAATCATTTGGAGTGGTTTGTGATCCGACTACACAATAACCTCTGGTTGGCCAGAAGGGTAGTGTTGAAACTTTTCACAGCCATGGACGATGGCAAGTATCTCTCAATTTGGGCGTATTTATGCTGCGTCTCTTTTAGCGAACGGGACAAGTAAGCTAATGGGCACCCTTCTTGCATAATAACGGCTCTAATTTCCGTTTGGCTGGCGTCTACCAGTAGGGAAATTGGCTTGTCTTTCTGGTAGTATGATATTACTGGAGGCTTTGCTAGTGCCTCACGCAAGGCTTGAAAGCTGGCATTATTTCAGTCTTCCCAAACCAATGCAGTGTTTTTCTTCAAGAAGTCTCGGCGTGAAGCTCTGTGTGTTGACATGTTTGGAATGAAGCGGGAGACGAAATTATCATACCCTAAGAAAGTTTGTCGATCTTTACGGTTACCAGGCGCCGGCACGTGATTCATATCATGCAGTCAACCTGCATCAAGGCTTAATCCAACTCGCGTAAGCACGTGTCCAAGTTTACTGCAAGAAATGAAATTTTTTTCACTTTAGTTTCAAGTTGTGCTCTTGGCATTTTCGCAGAACGCTGAAGGGGTGTTTGTCATGCTCTTCTTCAGTTCGACCCAAGGCGAGAATGTCACCCATAACGACTGGCGCACCTGCAATACCTTCCAAAACTGTGTGCATGGCGTGCTGAAATAATTCTGTGGCCGAAAAAATACCGAACGGCACGCGTAGGAATCTATAGTAGCCAAACGGAGTGCTCTTAGTACAAATTTTGAGCTTTCCTTGTCCAGTTTTATCTGTCAAAATTCGGTGGCAACCTCCGAAGATGAAAAGTACTGCGCTCCGTTCAGAGACGGGGCGACATCTTTTAGTGTTGGCATGGTATGACGCTCTTTAAGAAGCGTTTTGTTCAAGTCCAAGGGATCGAGACATATCCGTACCTTGTCGTTTTTTATGACGATAACCTTGTGGCTGGACCACTGTGTGGGTTCCGTAACTTTGACAATCACTCCGGCTGCTTCCATGCGCTCAATTTCTACTTTTACTCTGACTTTTACTGCATATAGGATCCGAAGTGCAGATTTCACTACTCCTTGGGAGCGCGGTTTCAGATTCAGGTGTTATATGACGCCCTTGATCTCTCCCAGTCCGGTGAAAACGTCTTCGTAAGGCCTAACTACGTCGTAGGTGTCTTGTTGCAATGCAGCAACTAGATGAACTAACCCCCGTATTCAGAAACGCTGCTTGAATTGAAGTTGACTTGCCACCGACTTCGATGCCGCACGAACTTGTTTTGAACGCGCTGCCTTTAGGCTGTGCCAGGGCAACACTAACGCACAGACGCGTTTCGAACGCGCTGCATTGAACGCGTTTTCAAGTAAAGTCAAGAAGCGTTTCTGAATACGGGGGTAAGCCAAGTTTCTCGGAGACAGAGCTGCTCAGGGTCACAAATACGTTGTCCTTCACAACGAAGAATTCTGTTCCAAACGTTCTCCCAGGTCCAGCCACCTGAAGACGAATGCACCTTGTTGCATGTTTCTGAAATCCCACAAAAATGTTATTATAACAACGTCGCAATTTTCAGGCTGTTTTTTCGTTATCTTATCCTGTTGGCTGTGCGCTATCACTGAGCAGTTGGCGCCTGTCTCAAGCTTGGAGACGATGGGCGTTTCTTCTGTTTTTACTATTGCAGTCCAGCAATCATCTTTCTGGCTGCTATGTGACAATCCTTCTAGCCAAAAGTCTTCAGCCTGTCTGCCTGCATCTGCTTCGAGCCATGCAACGTTTTGCTCTTTCGTATTGGGGTTTACATTCTTGGTTCTCCATGCAACTGCCAAATGATTTGTTTTGCCACACTTTGCGCACGTGCGTCCTTTTGCTGGGCATGCTTCCCAGTTTTTGTGTAGCTTGGCGCACTTGCCGGACTAGCAACTCAATTGGGAGACTGCGTTGACTTCTACTTGAGCGCGCATGCTTGACTGCATTTCTTCGCTGTGTTCTTTTCCTTGCCCACAAGCTCGGAACATTTTAACAGTTTTGGATAAAGAGGCGTTTTCCGATACCAGTTATTTTTGAAGTTCTTGTCTCGCATTCCTAAAATGACTCCGCTTCTTAGCATGCGTTCTTCCAATTCGCCGAATTCGCAGCTCTTTGCGAGTGCACGCGGCTCAGTTAACCACTCGTTGAAGTGCTCGTTTTCTCTCTGGTCGCGCTTTCCAAACCAGAATTCGTGGAACGCTAAGTTTAGTGCGGGTTTGAAGAATACACCCACCTTTGCCTTTATTACTACAACGTCATTTTTTTTCTTCTCCAGCTTGCAATACAAAAGTGCTGTCGGAATTTTGCGCGTCCTCTCGAACACCGATAAAAAATGTGGCTGCTTGTACCTCTTTCGGGTGATGGTTCAGGTAACTTCCAGTCATAAAGAGCTCAAACTCTCGCTTACAGACCTTCCAGTTCTGCGAAATGTCTCCCGTTGTGTCATGGGCTTTTGGGGATGGTAGCAGCGTATTGACGGGGGTGGCTGGCTGCACGCGGGTGGACTGCTCGCTGTTCGCCATGTTTCTAATTCGCTGGGACTCGCAGTCTATCGAGTTGCCTGGCTGTAAGACAGCTCTTCACCCGCCCATTGTTTGCGTTGTTGGTTGCTAACCACCCACTTCTGACACCATGTAGATGTGCCTGTACCACCATGTAGAGGCCTTTGTCCTGCAGAGGACGTAGTCAGTTTGATGATGATGATGATGATGAGCTGTGCCTGAGTGTGGTGCATCAAAGAATAACGCTTATTCAGGAAGGCGGCGGTTATATACATGGTAGATAGGAGGCGGCTCCCAGCCAGCTAAACACGTGTGCATGATTGTGTACTACGTCACATAATATCTTGTCTTGTTGCAGTGCAGCAATTCAATGAACCAAGCCAAGTTTCTCGGAGACGGAGCCACTCAGGGTCCTGATACGTTGTCTTCAACGGCGAAGAATTCTACTTCAAACGTCCTCCCAGGTCTAGTCACCTGAAGACAAATGCGCCTTGTGGCACCTTTCTGAAATCTAAAAAAAAGCTTTTTGATTAACGTCTCAATTTCGAGGCTGTTTTTTCGTTATCAGTTTTCTTCCCAAAATCATCGCCAGAAAAATGCTTTGTGGCGCGGTGGGGGGTAGCTCACTAATAAATTATGTATGTTCTTGTGTGCGTTGCATATGTGCATGTATTATACACAAGTAAATCTTTAAAAACTCGGGCAAAGTTTGAACACTCCCCCCTTGGCTACACCAGTGTCAGATAGATAGATAGATAGATAGATAGATAGATAGATAGATAGATAGATAGATAGATAGATAGATAGATAGATAGATAGATAGATAGATAGATAGATAGATAGATAGATAGATAGATAGATAGATAGATAGATGAAAGGGTGGATGGAAGGACGCGTCGGGGGCGTATACGATGGAAAATACTTCCTACCTGTCCATACCGTTTCTTGTTCTTGGAGGCACCGTAATCATACATGAGAAAGTTCTTCGCTCTATTTATCTGCAAAGAAAAAAAAGCACGTAAAGCTTTTATGCAGTTCACACAATATAAATTCAATGTAAAGTCTCTCTTTATGTTGTTATCGAAGATTTTTCCAGAAATGGGAAGCTGGTGTGATTACTCTGTTTCATAAACCGAAGCCTTCATTGCATACGTCTCAGGGGTTATATATGGCTGCTAGTGATGGGGCCTTTGTATGCACAGACACCGCCCACTAATCAGACTGCACAACGGAGGTGTCATTGGATGGTCTAGGGTCGCTGATATCGGCCGCTAGGGAAGACGAATGTGATGCGCACAAGCACGACACCTCACCATTACGTTCTTAGACCACCCGTTTTTATGGGCAGTGTGTGTTCCTCACGTCGCGTTCGCACGTTGTTAGTAAGCATCTTAAGAGCTTTAAAAACACTTTTTCCTCAAACTATACCTTCTGTGGAGTAAGTATTCACTACTCAGATATTCACACAAAGTGCAGAATTTTAATACAAAAAATGCAAACATAACACCATTTGGCAAAGTTCTATTAGGTCTATGTGCCAGTAATGTTGCACTAATATTACTGAGCTTCAAACACCTAACGAATGCACATTAACGTAACATGTAGATTAAATTTGCTATGAAAATAGAAAGCGGTACGTTTAAATTAATATTGTTAACAAACAACACGAGGACGACATTAGAGGAAGTGCAGAAGGCCTTCACGTGAACACATGTTTTTCTCTAGAAAATATTGTAGCAGTTCACTTTTGTTATTGCAGTCAATCAGCACAATTATTTCGAACATATTTGAGGTGGTGACCGAAATGACTGAGACATTTGGCCTTGAATGACCCAAAGCAATACATCGTAAAGCTAACCTCCCATAATACAGCAATAAACCTATGGTTCTCAGTCTCCAGCAGCTGCTAAGCAGCTGTCAAAGGCAGTGGTCAGACCTGCAACGCAGTGCACGGTGGTATGAATCTCTGGGTCCAGACCGGCCACCATGAGAATCTGAACTTCACTACCTTCAACGCTGGAACGCTATCCAATGATGCAAGTCTAGCTCTGCTGCTGGAGAAATTAGAGAGTGCTGAATGAGATGTAATAGCACTCAGTGAAGGTGGAAGGAGACGTGAGCTTTATACAGTACTGACGAATGTACACGTTCTATGCTACCGTAGATTAGTCACAGAAGAGGACTACGAGGGAGGTGCATTCGCACTATGATATCGCAGGCAACATACAGAAATACTATAGAATCAGTAGGAGGGTGGAAAGTATCATAATTAAATTTAGAAAAAAGTAGAGGCTGGACGTCATACAGGCCTACGCACCTACAGTGAGCCATGATGGTCGTTTTGTTGCACGCTTTAACTAAGACGTAAAGTCAGCCATTAATAAAGCGACGGTATACTATTCTCAAGGGCGATATTAAATGACCACTCACCAGGCTTGACAATTTCAAGCTCACAAGCGCAAAGCGTAGATGGAGCGCTCACGAACATGTCTGCCGAAAATCGCAACGCTACGCGCCGAAAAAATGTGTTGAATTTCAAGATGAACGCTGCTCCCACTTCCTTCAGTGGGCTCGCGCCCAGAGAATGAGGGCATGGCGTGCACTTAAGAATGGCCCTACGTACATGGCAGTGAAGTGACGTTAATCCTCTACGTAGTCTGCTAGGTTCTCAAGTTGTCAAGAGTGGCACGTAACATGGCTGAAATCATTTAACACGACATGCGTAGTTGATGTCATTTGTTGCTTGAAGAGTTTATTAAAAGATGATATAAGAATGATACGCAATAGGGGAATGTGCGCGTCTTTTTTCCCTATTTATGTTTCGTGAATACAACGAGATGTGCGGCTAATGTGCCGGCATTTCACATGGTTTCGTGTCCCTGCGGTCAGCGCATGAGCAGACGACAGCCGTGGAAGCGAAAGTAACGCTCCTACGAGTCCGAGCACTTATTGTGCTCATCTATTCTACCGCGTGTAAGCCAGCGCTTCTAAGTCATTCTGCAGAAACAGGCAGTAGACCACAAAATAACGCTGGTCAAAAACAAAAACAACAAGAAAAACACCACTTGTGTGCTCGGGGGTTAGGCTTGCTCGAGCACGTAATAGGCACGTGACCTCTTGGTCGGATCCCACAGATAGAGTAAGGAAGAAACTTGGATTGCGAAGGTTACGCGGATGAGCGACAAGGTTTTTGATCTCACCTGCTCTCATCTTCATTTCGCGCCGCTTCAAAAAAGTTTTCTCAGCTAGTAATGACCGGATTGAGAAAATTTTGTTTCGTGTTTTCATCTGACACCCAAATTCCGCGGTCTGACTAAAACTTGTTATGTAGCCTGGTGAGTGGCCCTTCAAGAACAAAGTTGGCAAGAAACAGGCCGGAGACCATGCTGTGGGGCAATGCGGCATCGGCTCTATAAATGCCAGAGAATAGTTGTTAGAGTTCGCAGAACGTAAAATTTTACGCATTTTGAGTCCTTCTTCAGAAAACAGGCTAACCATAAGTGGACGCAGCGAAGTTTAATTGAGAAACTAAAGATGAAATAGACTTCATTCTGTGTGCACACCCAAGCATTGTACAGGATGCAGAAGTTGTTAGCAAGGTGCAGTGACCATACAGTGGTTGGTAACAGCTCGTATTCACCTAATTTAAAAAAAAACTAAGACAAAAACCAATGAACTGTGAAAGTAGAAGTGTTTTGCTTCAGAATATATTCGAGGCCCTAAACGACGTGACCGACGTTAGCGTTGGCACGATGAAGGATAATCCTACTATTACATACAAAGAGGGTGCAATGGAAGTCGCAGGTGCCGTCACTATACGGGAACCTGGCAAACCATTCTAGGAGACGGAAAATTTCATTAAGAGGGGACAAACCATAATAACAAAACAGAGGTAGTGAAGCTTTCAAACTTAATCAATGGGTGAAGGTAGCCGACATCAGAAGGTATAACACGGAGAAATAGAGCAGGCTGTAAAAAGCAGCAGAAGTCTAAACGCTGCGAAAGCAAACTTGTGCATAAGCAAAGATCACATGTATGGATTCAGGAACAAGAAACGCAATGTCATAACCAATATGGATAGGATAGTTGAAGTAGTGGAGGAGTTCTACACAGAGCGGTACAAAAACAAGCACAACCAGGACGATATCGTGAGAAGCGATATTAGTGAAGAGGAATTTTATATCTTAGCACTAACGACAAGGAGAGTAAAGAATGTCCTAAAAGGAATGTAAAGAGACAAAGACGCTGGTGAGGATAAGGTAACAACAGACTTGGTGAAAGATGGCACAGAAATTGTGCTAGAAACACTGGTCACCTTACATGCTAAGTGTCTCTTGACAAGAAGAGTACAAGAATCTTAGAACGCCAACATCATTTTAATCCATAACAAGGGAAACGTAAGGAACATTGAAAATGACATGCCTGTCAGCTTACTGTCCGTTCTATATAAACAATTTAGAAAAAGAATAGCTAACATAGTTAAGGCGACCTTAGAGCTCAATCGGCCAAATGACCAAGCAGCATTTCGTACAGGATACTCCGCAATAGACTGTATTCACCCTATCAATCAGGTAATAGATAAATGCGCAGAATGCAACCAACCCCTATATACATAGCTTTCATATATTACGAGAAGGCGTTTGACTCATTCGAGACATCAGCAGTAATGCAGACACTACCGAATCAGGACATCAAACAACCCTACTTAAACATACTGGAAGAAATGCACAATAAAGCCACAGCCACCGTCGTTCTCTTGAAAAAAAAAAGTGGCAGATTTCTAGTGAAGAAGGAGGTAAGGGAGATAGACACGATCTCTTCAATACAGTGCACCGCTTGTTTGCAGGAAGTTTTCAGGACCCTAGATTGGGAAGAGTTAGAATGTTTGTCATTTAGTAATACAGTCAATCCCGTCAGAATAATTACGGAAGGTGGTAGAAGTGTCTACAAATACTGTATATTCAAACAATATAACTAATTCCAAAGTACGATAATACACAGTGATGCTATTGTAAAAAAACGTCATGATAGAAAATTTTAACGACAATGGGCTTTCGTTAGTAAGAGGTCCAGATGTTTCAGTCATTTGTGCAGACACTGAAGAAGAAATAACGAGAATAAAAAAGGTAAGCACGCCAAGGCACAAATTTAGAAGGACATCCACTATTTCTTATCACAAAGATCAGTATAGTAGGGAAGAGGAAGATCAATGAGCAGTGACATCCTGATAGCGTCGCTATGCTGTAGCTGACAGAATTGTTAGGCCAGCAAGCCCAACAAATTTGCTGGCAGTGGGCTGCACAACCCCCGTCTTTGGTAAACTTAGCATTCCACGTACTTCCCTTAGAAAAAACAAAAAACTAAAAGTGTTGTCAACATAGATTTATATCTGCCACATACTGCTGTTGACGCTCATCTTCGAGGGAACTGTAGTGTTTTCAGCATTACCACCAATATAGAGCGATGAGCGCGTGTCGCCACATTGTCATGACGCGGCGGCGCGTGCTCTCATCTCCCACGCGTACTCTACCCCATGGAGAAGAGGAAGGTGTAACCTCGCTCGCTCGCCCTTATGTCGTGGTGGGGAGGATCTTACGTCATGGCTGGCCTTGGAATTTCACCCGAATGATTCTGTTATAGTTACAAGGCGCACAAAGGTGACTGCAGTTGTTGTACAGTTTCTGTTTGAGAAAAAGGCACACTTTCATCCAGAGCGAAGTAATGACTGAAACGCCCATTCGCGTTCACCTGTACCTGTGAGTACCTTTTTTGCATCAATTGTGCAACAGAAACGCGGTGACCACTTCGAAATGCTTGCCATCCTGTGCGAGATTTTCCAATTTGTTGCAATCAGGCTAATTGCGTTGCCTTTGCGGCAACGCTGTGTCATTTTTGTTACGGTCATTGCAACTATTTTAACGATGTTTAATACCATTTGCCAATGCTCACACCATTGCGCACATAAGGCGAAATCATCAATAAGACTATTTTAATCTTG